TAGGGTTGGTATTACCTTAAACCCGTTTCCGGTTACCCTAACCCCTCCCCCCTCCCCCCCCTCCCCTCCAACCATATGGCTGCTACGCAGGGCGAGACGGAAGACGGCATGGAGGCTCTGCTCGCCGCCCTACAGAACGGCCGTATCCACGCTGACGACCTGCTCTCCTCCGACCCCTCCATGGGCCGCAACTCACTGTTTCTGCTGCTGGACGACGACGACGACAACAACAACGACGAGAATGACGGCGACGGCGACGGTGACGGTGGCGGCGACGGCGACGGCGACGATGCCGGAATTTGTGCCGACAACAACTCGGCTGGCGGCATGTCGCCTGGCGGCAAGTTGGCCAACATCGATGGCGGCGCCCACGACCCGTCGCGTGACCCCGAGCCGAGTGGGACAGGGCGCTCGGAGCAGAAGAGCGCTTCCACAGCTCCGACGTCGCCACCGCCGCCGTCGCCTCCGTCCCTTGCCTCGCAAGATTCGCCTGGCACCTACGCGTGGGATGTGTACGCCGCGCCGCGGGCGAGACTGACCGGATCGCCTGCAGCGGCGGTGGCAGCGGCGGCGATGGCGGCTGGGCCGATGGACGACGAGGCTGCCGAGGGCGACGATAGCAGCGCGGACGTGAGCGCGGTGCCGCAGACTAGCGATGCCTGGGACGCCATGTTCGGCAACTCGATGGAGACCATGCTGAGGCGGGCTTCGGTGGTGGCGCGGTTGGTGGGCGAGGCTGATGGCTGCGGTGGCGGTGCCAAGTCTCGCTCGCCGCTTGATGCCATCAACAATGGGCCTGCAGCGGCGGCCGATTCGTCGGCATCGGCAGACACCGACCCGGTGCGCGACGCTGTAGCACAGGCGCGAACGTTTCTCGAGTTCTGCGCCATGTGCGCCATCGACACCGCGTCGCTGGCGCCGACCGAGCTCGAGCGGCAGAAGCTCATGTTTGAGCTGCAGGTCTCGGAAAGGCTGTACCTACGCGACCTGCGGATCCTTTTCAAGGTCTTTGTCGACCCATCGACACGTGCGCCGCGGTCGGTGTCGTTTTCAGCGGCGCTGGGCGAGGATTCGGCAACGCCAGCAACGAGCTCTCCGCTCTTTGTCTCGCACGACTCGACCACCCGTGATACGTACGCGCCGTCCCCACTGTCGAGGACAGCACGAGCAAAGACCACAATCAGTGCGGTCGGCGGCGAGCTGGCGCTCCCGGCTAGTAGTGTAGCTGTCGCCACCGCGCGAGACGACGACGAGGCTGCCCCGCCGGTCGAACTGCCCACTCCGCTCCGGCTGGTCCTGGAAGAAGTGCCAGAGCTGGTCAAGGCGACGGCGACGCTGCTGGCGCGGCTGGAGACGCGGCGAACACAGGCACCGTTTGTGGCCTCGATTGCCGACATCTTTTCCGACTTTGCAGCGGTGGTCAAGCACTACGCCGGCTTTCTCAACAACCACCCGGCGGCGGTTGATGCGTACCAGGACGCCCGGAGCGACCCGATCTTTGCAGCGTACTTTGACCGGCTCGGGGCGTCGGCGCACGCGCTCCACACCTCGCTGCTCTCGTATCTGGGCAAGCCTGTGCGGCGGTTGTCGTTGTATGTGGAGACACTGGGGAAGCTGGTGGCGGCAACACCTGTCGAGATGGCTGACGCCGTTGCGCTCCGCTCTGCGCTTCGTGCCATGCACACCGCCATCTACGAGCTCAACGCATCGCGGCGGCTGGTGGAGAACCGGCTGGTGGTCCACGAGCTGTGCAAGTCGGTGGCTGGCTTTGGCGAGCTGACATCGGGTGCCGCAGCGCGGCTGTTTGTCTCGCTCGCCGAAGTGGTCAAGTTTACGCAAGACGGCAAGCGGTCGCACGTCCGATCGCTTGTTCTCCTCTCGGACTTGCTGCTGGTGCTCAAGGCCAAGCGCGACGGCTCGTTTGTGCTCGGGCGGTCGCTGCCGCTGGAGCAACTGGCGCTGACGCGGCCGCGGGAGACGGCGACGCGGCGGAATCTGTTGCGGATTCAGCACATTGGCGGGCGGCACTTTGTGGTCTCGTTTGACACGCCAGCTGGGCTCGACCGGTTCGAGGCCAAGCTCGAGTCGCAGCGCAAGTGGGCCAAGGAGCGGCTGCTAGCGGTGCAAAAGCGTCGGCACGACCTGGCCCGCAAGTCGTCGCCCGACGGACAGCGGCTGGCGGCGCTGATGCTCTTTGCCGACGGCCTCGACGTTGTCGGTCTTGAGACCGGACTCACCACGCTTGTCCGTGAGGCGCGGTGCTCGGTGGTCAACATTTACACCTCGGAGGAGCACGAGGTGTTCTGCTACCTCACGGACGATTCGATCTTTTGGACAACGGAGAACCCGCTGCTCGGCAAGAAGAAGCGGGCGCGACCGCAGGTCCTCCATACCCTCCTTCCGCTGGTGGAGGTCTACGTGGCAGATCCGCCGCTCCAGCCGCCGCGGCCTGACGACGCGCCAAGCGGGTGGACCGAGCGCATGTCGCCGCGGTCCCTGCAGACGCCGTTCCGGTCGCGCGGACTCTCGCACCTCGAGACTGCGCACTCGCCCAACTCGTTCACCCTCGTCCACACTGGCGTCACCAAGTATCAGCTGTACTTTGACTCATCGACCGCCATGTATGAGTGGCAGGTGGAGATCCGGGCGCTCGCGCACAAGGTCCGTGACCAGGGCCCAGCAACGGCACCGCCGCCGCTCGAGCTGCCGGCCTGCTGCGGCGAGAGCGGCATCGACGGCGGCGAGAGCGGCAGCAGCGGCGGGCGGCATGGCGCAGGGCCGGCGGGCGGCGGAAGCGGCGTTGTGGCAGCAACCGCGCCACCGGCACTCAAGCCGCGGAAGAACACGCTGCCCAAGAGCGGCAGTTAGGCGGTGGGTGTGTTACTACTGCTGCGAGCAAGAGGCGCGCCGCCGGTTCAGTCGGCGGCGCCGCGCGGCATGACAAACGAGTGCAGCGAGTTGACGACAAAGGACGCGATCTCAGCGCCCGGAAGCAGGAGCTTGAGCTTTCCGGCAGTAATCATGGCGATGGGGGTGGAGATCTGCTTGAGGACGACGCGCGAGAGGGCGAGGCCAAAGACGGCCTCAAACTGGGTAAAGATGCCATCGACGACGGCTGCGGCGAGGCTGGCCTCGTCGTCAGCGGAGAGGCCCGTCTCGCCACGGCGCGGCGATCGCGGAGTGGGGAAGAGGGCGGCGCGTGAGGCACGGTAGAGCGACATAACCGAGTCATACTCGATGGTGTAGGTGATGGTGTCGAGGCCCGGGGCGGCGTCGAGGACGGCAAAGACGAGCTCGAGCGGGCGCTTGGGCGAGGTCGGCTCGCGGGCGCCGGTGGCTGCGGCGCGCGGGCGGCCGCGGCGGGGCGGGGCAAAGCGTGCCGGATCGGTGGTCACCACCTTGCGCATCCAGACATGTAGGAGCGAGGTGAGGGCGTACGAGGGGAGCTCGAGCGGAGCAACGGTGGCGTCAAACGAGGTCTCGATCCAGTTGATGACGTCGCGGGCCATGGAGAGCGGGCCCTTGGTGAGGAGGAGCGGGAGGTGGACAAATTGCGCGTTGGTGGCGTCGGACTTGCGCCCGCTGCTGTCGCGTGAGCCGATGAGATAGACCGTGAGCACGCCCTTGGCCTCGTCGAGCCCAGCTAGCGGCGAGGTGTCATCGCCGCGGCGGCGGGTGGCGCGGCCGGCGGCGGCAGCAGCGGCGGCAGCGGCGTCGTCGTAGTGGCGGCGGTAGTGGACGGAGATGTGCAGGACATCGTCGCCCGCGGTGGTGGGCGAGGTGACGACGACGTGGTAGACACGGTAGGGCGAGGCGCCCGAGACACGATGCTCTTCAGCCCGCATGTGCTCCACCAGCGCCTTGGAGTACGTCGAGAACGCGTCCGACGTCACCCGCAGGCCGTAGAGCGGCGTTGTCCGGTACGCCCGGAATGTGGCGTTGGCCGGCAGCAAGCCAAGGCTCGCTTGCCCCGCGCTGCTTCCCGCCGCGCTGCTTCCCGCCGCGCTGCTTCCCGCCGCGCCCCGTCCGCTGCCCGTCCGCCCGCTGCCCGCCCGCCCGCCGCCCACCGGCGAGGAGCCCAGCCCGGGCAGCGGCCGCAGCATGGGTGACGCCGAGGACGAAGCTGTGAGGGACATGTATGTATATATGTATGTATGTGTGTGTGCGTGTGTGTGTGTGTGTGTGTGTGTGTGTGTGTGTGTGTGTGTGTGTGTGGGACGAGTGTTGCCCCTGTAGAATCCTGGCGGGAAGCCACGGGTTTGGCGCCCGGGTGCGACACAGGGGTGGCCAGTCCGGCGGGAGCTGGGCAATGGTGTCAGCCGTTTTGCGATGGGTGCTGCTGGGTGCAATGGGGTGAGTTCCGCGCGTGGAAAGGATGGGTGGAGGTAGGGGGGGGGGGAGGTGTAACTATTGGCGGCGACGTTGGATCTCGGCCTTGGTCTGGTCCTTGACCTTGGCTGAGGCTGATGAGACCTTGGAGAGGAAGCCACCGAGGCCGGCCTTGCGGGCGACGGCGGCGGCGGCGTGCTGGGCGGTGGCGATGGCGGAGCCCATGACGTAGCGGACACGGCAGACGCCGCGGCCAAGGCCGCGGGCGGCGGCGTTGCGGCGGGCCTTGGCTGCGGCTGCAGCCCAAGCGGCCGATGACTTGTCGGCAAGGTTGAGCGTGCCGGCGTCGACAGCCTTGGCCTTGGTCACGGCGCTGGCGGAGAGTACGTAGCCCGAGGCGAGGATCATGGCGATGATGGAGCACTTGGGAAGCGTAGAGTGCTCGACGGGCGAGTCGGCCTCGGCCACCATAAAGTCGGCGTCGAGCTCGGCGACCGAGTCTGCGTCGACGACGCCCTCGCCATCGATGCCCTCGTCCTCCTCGGCCTCCTCGGGCGGGACGGGCGTCTTGTCGGCGTCAAAGACCGCATCGTACGGGGCGATAGAAAGGTTTGTCGACAGCAGTCGGGCACCCGAGAGCAGCAGCGCGGTGGTAAACGACGACGGCTCCTCGTAGGTGATGTAGCCATGGCGCTCGCGCGAGCCGTCCGACCCAGGCTCAGCATCGCGACCAAAGGCGAAGGCCTGGATCCGGCCGGCAAAGGCCAAAAAGTCGAGGATCCGGGCGTTGGACGCCTCGGGGTCGATGTTGGTCACCACTACCGTCCTGCTGCGGTCTTCCTCTGGCACGGTGGTGTAGTCGAGCGGCGGCTCTGTCTTGTGCGTCTTGATCCACGACGAGTCCTGAGCAACTCAGCCGAGCCGACCATCCGTCGAGTCCAGGATCAGTCACCAGGAGTAATGTACATAGGGACATGGCGACATCAGCCACAGCAGCACGAGAGTCCGATGCACCGATGCGTATGCCCACAGATGGTGAGTTCGCACGCCCATGATCAGGCGCGGGCGCGGCGGGTGGCGGCACGCGGCGGCGCTGTCCCCGACAGGCACCCTCCCTCCCTAGTCACCTACCTCGGACGACTGCAGCTCGGCGGGCGGCATAAAGGCTGGGCTCGTGTGCGGAGTGATATCGGACACATTTGCGGCCCAGTGTGAGCGGAAGCGGGTGGTAGTCTCGGCGGCCATGTGCTCGGTGAGGGCGTTGCAAGTGAAGTGCGCTTGTCCGCCTCGGTCTGTTGCTTCGGCCTGTTGCGCAACGGAGGCACCATGGCTCCAGTCAGCCACCAGCCACCTCCATCAACCACCAGCCACCTCCATCAACCACCAGCCACCTCCATCAACCACCAGCCACCTCCATCAACCACCAGCCACCTCCATCAACCACCACCAGCCACCTCCATCAGCCACCAGCCACCTCCATCAACCACCACCAGCCACCTCCATCAGCCACCAGCCACCTCCATCAACCACCAGCCACCTCCATCAACCACCAGCCACCTCCATCAACCACCACCAGCCACCTCCATCAACCACCAGCCACCTCCATCAACCACCACCAGCCACCTCCATCAACCACCAGCCACCTCCATCAACCACCAGCCACCTCCATCAACCACCAGCCACCTCCATCAACCACCAGCCACCTCCATCAACCACCAGCCACCTCCATCAACCACCAGCCACCTCCATCAACCACCACCAGTCGCCTCCATCGGCCACCAGCCACCTGCATCAACCACTACCTCGCTGGCCTAGGTGGTAACGGTGGACTGGGGGACGGGTGGCAGGTTGCAGGTTGAAGCGCTCGTTTGGATCGTGGTCGGGGCACAAAACCAATGAGTGTCTTGTGGAGAGGGTAATGACCGCGGGTAGATCGAGAGTGGGCTTTTCATTTTGAAGGACTTGAAGAGATATCGTATGTATGTGGCCT